GGCCTTGTAGTGTGTTGGGGCAAATGCTGTTCGCGATTCCAGTTCTGATATCACTCTCCACTGATGTTGGGAGTAGCAGGAACATTGCTGCCGAATTCGGTGACAAACCACTCCACCACCGCTCCCCACACACACGCGACACAAACACATTGCACTCTGCCTTACACAGGCAGGGAATGCTCGCAGTGGACTCGAGGTCACACAGACCCATAGACTCACACAGAGACACGTATACTCACAAAAAACCGTAGACTCGCATAGAGACCCGTATATTCACATATAGAGCCATATACTCACACAGGAACCCATAGACTCTCACAAGGAGCCATATACTAATGTAGAGACCCATAGACTTGCATAAAGGCCCAGAGACTCGCACAGAACCCTATACGCTCACACAGAGACCCATAGATGCACAGGGACCCGTAGCCACACTTAGGAGACTATGTACACACAAGTGTTCCACTGTTTGTTGCGGTGGACATCATTCGCATTTGGGTGATTTTTTTATTTGCCATCTATGGAGGTGACTGCACCTGCCGTGGTTGGCGCAGATGAAGTGTGTGGTGCATGTGCTATATATGGTAGCAGCCCACTGCTTGCAGGTCCGGGGGTGGGGTAGTGATGACTGGATGGTATCAGTGCCGGATTATCCTCGTAGCAAAAGTAGCTACATAAGTAGTAGCTACGGGCCCCGCACTTTCAAGGGCCCCGCGTTAAATGCTTTCAAGCTATAAATTTTGATTCAGTGATTCTGCACTTGCTCTATTACTATAGTACTTTACTGCCTTCAACTTTGATGAACGACGGGGTGTTTATGGTTAGCGATTTGTCGTATTAACTGGCTGTATAGCAAATGAAAAAATAAAATGTATTTAGTATGCAAATTAAAAATGCATGTGTTTTAATAGTTACGTTATATTTTATTTTATTCAGGGCCCCTTTATAACATATGCCACAGGCCCCACACTCGCTTAATCCGGCACTGGATGGTATGACGCATGTGCACACTCATGGTTGGGCTGTGCCGGTACAGCTTCCTCCAACGGAACATTTCTCCCACTTGGGAGTGATTGCTTAGCGCATTTACCAGAAGTGACATCTGCCAAAAAAAATCCCCACTATACCTCGAATCGGACCACAATCCATTCATCAAGCAATGTGGTATTATACCTGGAAATTACCTGCCACCTCTTGATTTATTTCACACTGTACATAGCCAACCGTGCTAATGGGAGGTGTGGCGGAATGACAACAAACACAAAAAGCAGTTCTAAAGAAATCAGTTTTCAAATCTGGATTTTAAAATGCATAGCCCCAGTGGCTTCCTAATATCGGAAGGAAGAGCGTTCCAGACGGCCGCAGGAGCGCATCTGAAAGTGTGGGATGTGGTGACTGTCTATGTATAAATGACATGTGTACGTACGCTTGATCGAGTCGGAGCTATGAAGCTCAGCAGGTTGTAGCCTGAATAGCGCTCCCAAGGGTTACCACCGTGCATAACAGGTGTTATAGAGGCTGCTGCTGTTGGGCTACGTGATGGGTACCAGAGGGCATTGCAGTTACCTCCATTGTACTGCAATCATTCTTCTGGTTAATCAGCAATCCACATAATCAATAGATAACTTATTTGAATTTACCATTTTTCAAAACTGCCAGATACATTTTTTCCACAGGCTTCGGTTTAAAAATGAAAAGTGAGTGAATGTACCCCCACCCATATATTAAGGGAACTAAACATAAACAATATTGCCATTTAGCCTTTACACCCCTGACAACATTTAGCTTCAAAATTTTGTAGGCTATGGTTCAACATTGAAACGAAAAAGTACGTTTTTTGGAGCCCTTCGTTCTGGAATTTTGGTTGTTGGATTCCTATGGACGTATGTTGAACATATTTCGCGCCTTACGGAGCCAACCGTGCGATCGGAGGTGTAGGAGACTTATGCAGTACAGTACCGTGGCTCGAAGGAGCAGCACAGCTACTGTGGGTGCCATGAGTGTTTGTTTAGACACCACTGGCACGTTGAGCTCTGGCTGAGAGACCCGCACCATTTCAGACAAAAAATCCTTGAATTTTTTTTATTTCACGCTTGTCTCTCTTCAACTAGGATGACATCAATGCTGATTATGCTTGAAGGAAACATTTCGTGCACACTCGCGCATTAACTGTAGGCTCAGTACTGAGTCGGTAGATGGTAGTAGCGTAGATTGAAAGCTGTATCATCAGAGAGTAGTTGAACTCCTCTTATCCATGAAGAAGTTGGGGGAGACACCCAACTCTAATAGTGAGGCCGCACAACTGGTTATAAGCAGAGGCTTAAACTAAACTATGTTTATTTTCCCAAGGGCCACTGAGCTATGTAGCTTTTTTTCAGAAGCGACCTAGCCACAAATGATCGCTCAACGAAGTGGCTTATCGTGTGGAAATTTATAGCAGCCATATATTCTATACTAATGCTTATAAATGGGGAGAACATGCAAGCCCCAAATATACAGGTGTCAGGGACGGGATCGAACCCACGTGCTCTTGTATACCAGGCAACGTAGTTAACATCTCGCCACCATGACTCAACTGTGTACCAGGTTTCAGCTGTGTTTAGCTCTTCTATAACGCAATGAAAATTTACGTCACTCACCCAATCACTCACGACCGGCCCGAATATATATTCAACAGGACATTAAATATGTACTCGGTGGGTGTGGACTCGGCATGCTTTTACAGCCTTTCAAACAGGATGTAAAAAACATCTACACAGCACAGTTCTGGGCCACTGTAATTAAATGTGTCACTACGTGTAGCTATCCTGTTTCCTAATTTGCATATAAAGGTGAGGCTTCACAATGAGCGTGACGTGGCCAGGTGGCTCGGGTGGGGGGCTCGTAATAGCTCGGAGAAACCCAGCCAGCGCCACTGAGGTTGTGGCTTGAAATCCACATTCCAGCAGCCCGCGGTTAAACCAGGTCCCCAAGCGCAGCGAGTGGACTCTCACTTTGCCTTTACAAAAGGCCGCCACGTAAAATTTTGATTTAATTTGCCTAAATTCTTGCTTTGAAAACTAAAAAAAAAATCTATTGCAAAGAACATGAAAGTTGTGTCCCCCGTGTTGTGAAAGAAACTCAGTTAAGGTTACACTTTAAAACAATTCTCAGATTTTATGCGGCTGTTCTCTGACTCGGGGAGGTGCACTGCTCACTGAACATTCAACATGAAAACAAATTTGTCTCATTAACATGATACCAATTGCGCAAATTGGAATATAATTTGTATGATAAAAGCAAAAACAATAAAATTCTGGTTATCGCTCTCACAGAATATTCGGCCAACAATCCAAGGATGGTAAATTTTACACGTAGCAGGATTTAGTGATTAATATCATGCTTCATAATTGACGTTCGGGTGAGATCGCCGCAGTAAAATGTGTGTCGTAAACCCTCCTCCACCCGACATGGCCAACAAATGTTGGATGTTCTGACATTGTTCTCCGATACACTGGTGTGCTAAAGCCGTCAATCATCGGCATGTTTATTTTATTCATGAGCCGTGTCGGGTGGAGGAGGGTTCTACGACACATTTTACTCATGCGATCTGACCGAAAAATATATTACGAACCATAAACATGGTAACTTTGCCATGCACTTTACAAATACGTGACGATAACTGCACACATGAAGAAAAGTTATTTTATTGCTGGTGAAAGTAACATAGATTATGCAATTGCCCAAAAGCGTTTTGGAGGGACGGAGCTGTGTGTTTTCCAGTTTGTCTTGTTCAGTCAAGACAATTAGCCGCTGGGCTTTGCCTTTCTAAATATCGTGTTTGCCTTTCTAAATGTAGTGTTTTCAGTTCTTCAGTGCTTAATTTCACGTACTACATGTTCAGCTGATAGGTCTGTTATACGGATGGATAGAGTTGTTTCCACTGTAGAAATTTGCATCCATTATTGGCTTAGGGGTTGCTAACAGTGTTCAACTAAGCATTATTGTATTCTTTTGGTAACAAGGGTCGCGATAACTCATTAAAATTATCTGATATTTACAAAACTTTTGTGTAAGGTTGTGTTGCCATTTGGGAATCACTCGATTGAATTACGATCAAATTGATCAAAGGGTTTCCCAACATGAGGACACAAATCAGAGAAAAAACTACTATTTGCGAATATGAAAATGTACACATATATATTTCGCTTCTGACAGGCTGTCCGTTGCTTTCCACATTGCTAATTAAATATCTCCGAAGGTAACCACGCGTTATAAAGTGTTAAATAGCAAATGACCCACAATAATCCGTGTGTGAGATCGGCAGTTCACCAGCATTGATTCAAGTAAGCCTGGCTGCTGATGAGACACTGTATGTCGACCAGGCCAAAGTTTGCTTGTCTCGAATCAATGATGCTGAAATTATGCACTCCCAGAAGGCTGTGCGGTTGATGGGTCGTGTAAGAAATGTTTATTTTTGTGTGGAGAAACAGATATGTGAAAGAGGCATTGCTTACTTTTTATTGCCTGTGTTGTGAGTAATTGCTGTGCGTGACTCGTAAGTTTTAAACAAGAGAGCACCGCAACTGTGCTAAAGGTCAGTAATGCAGGTCATACCTGTACGTTCTCGCCCATTCAAAAAGGCCAGCGTGCGCGTTAGTCTGGAAATTACGGTGTTGCAACCAGAGTAGGTGTGTCTTGACACAAATGTGACAAGGAACCAGATAACGTGAAGCAATTTTAATCCAGATAGTTTAGTTCACATTGAGGTTATAGCCTGCATGCTTAATACTACCCCTGGACTTTTGATCTGTGTATATGCACAGCCCTTTTGCCTACACCATTGTCCCACAGACCATAATACCTGTTTTGCATGGTGGTCACCCATCCATGTACTTTCCAAGCTCAACGTTTATAATGGAAAAATGAATGCAAGTGGTGGTTGTGAGTGACTTTTTGTATGGCAGTTCGATGAAATGTGTTTTGTTTAAAGTGTTTGTTTTGCGTCCGGCGCTGTGCAGCGTCGAGGCAGAAAGCTCGCCCCCCCATGGAGGACGATGAGTCCATCTACTCGAGCTCTGAGTCCGGCTTCGGCGAGCCTCGCTCGCCGCTGTCACCCGAAGAGTCGCGGGATTTCAATTCGCTCTATCGCCGCATCGTCGCCGACTGCCCTCGCCTGCGGCTGATCGCGGGACAGACACGGGGGCAAGAGGGAAGCCTCGACACCGAGGACGGCGGTGACATCAAACCCAGCGGGAGTGGACGCTGTACCCCCCAGCGCAAGGGCGAGTTGTCCCAGTGGGACCTTGGTGCTCGGAGGCCGTCGGTGGAGAGAAACCAAAACTGCGACAACGGGAGTATCTGCCGTGGTCCAAGTGAGCATGGGAGCGCCAGTCCCCCCAGCCGAGCCATCCATTGCTCAGCCATGGCCAGACCCCCGTTGATGGAAGCGTCCTGCTGCGATTTTATGCAGGAGAGAGCAGGCCGTGGGAAGGAGGTGGGAGCGGCGGGTGGGCACATGCAGCACCGTCCAGCGGGGGGAAACTCCTGGGATAATGGCATTGTCGGGCTGGGACAAAGGGCACCATTCGATCCGCTGGGTCTAGGGTTAGGCTACCTGGAGCCAGCCGCTCCGCTAAAATCTGGCGACTTTGTGCCGCAGCAGGACTACGCAGCTCCACGGGGTTTCCTGCACCCGGGGGAGAAGGCGGATGCTTTCGGAGCAGGGTTCACCAGCCGACCGGTGGCGCACGGCCCACCGGCGTACGCTGCACCGAAGTACGCGCACCCACACCACCACTACGGGTGGCCTTCAAGCATCGCCGATCGTTCCTGTGGTCACCAGCACCAAAAACAGCAGAACCAACAACAACAACAACCACTGCCACCACAAATTGGGCACTGGCTACCGCCATATCCAGCAGTCTACCTTCCCGCTGAGAGCAGGGTAGCTCCACCGGCCCAGGTGTGCCCGAGTCGGAACTACCACCTGCATGGGCCAATGCTTCCCAAGGCTGGGCTGCAGCAGGGGTCCCAACCCTCAGCTGTGGGAGACCGGGAGCCGGAGAGCAGGAAGAGGTGAGATGCTACGAAGGTTAAAATGTTGCATTCAAGGTGTAAGAAATTATATTACTACTATAATAGCCCACAAATGTGTCCCACGCGTGACGTCACTCCACATGCCGCACCCCTCCACAATAACCATTAACGGGTGACGTCACTCCACATGGGGCAACCTCCACCCCTCATTAATAATCATGAGCTGAACAATTTTTCTATTGCATATTTCAGATTTGCTGCAATATACACCCACCCTTGGACGGGCAAAAAAGCTAATTGCAATATAAATTGGTACACCACCAGTTAGTTGATCGGTAGGTCGCGTGTGGTGGGGTAAAGCGTGGGTACTCCTACTTCGTCCAAGGCGAGTGGCCAACGTAGAAAGTTGTGGCCAAAAACACCCTCGAGAAGAGAATCTCTAGAAGGGACTCTCCAGAAGAGACTCTCTCAGGTTCCTTCTCGTGGAGGGCTCCTCTGCCAGCAGTGGCGTGAGCAGGCAACGGCAGGGCTGCATCTTTACCGTTCACCTAAGACGCTTCCAGTGATGACTGAACCTTGCTTGTTTTCGCCTAATGTGGCTGCAGGCTGTACGAATTAAGGAATCGCTGGCCGTATTTGGCCCATGGGTTGCAGGTTCCCCACCCCTGGTTTAGAGTTTGGGGGCAGCCAAGGGGAAACAGCTGTCCATCCGGTTGTTCGCCCCCCCCCACCCCCTCTGCGTGTGTGTGTGATGCCGCAGGGTGTGGGTAGCGGTGGTGTAGCAGTTAGCGCTACGCTGTGCTACGGATCCGGCGACCCTAGTTCAATTTCCGCTCGTGGCCAACACCAGTATCTGAACCAGTCCTGGGCCTTCTCTAGGTCGATTCAGCCTCAAATGAGTACCTGGTGCGGTGTATAAAAACATCACCACTGGGAAGCCAAAGGCAGTCGGGCGTGGTGCTGGCCACCCACCCCCTTGTGTACCCTGCCTGCTTTCATAGGTGCTCGCTAACAGCACTTGCCCCAACAGTATGTTGAGGCTCTACGGGGAATCTTTGTCTTTGTCTTTGATGCTATAGGGTAAGCGACGTGCCCGGTGATGGGAGACTCCTCCCGTCGAGCTGGCAAGCGAGGATCACGAGCCTCACGCCCGTCACCATCCGCCGCTCCCACCTGCATGAATCCATGTGTAGGCATGAGCACGCGGACGCACGCACACACACAGCTAAAGACAAGGATCCCCCTTATAGCCTTAACATACTGTTGGGGAAAGTGCTGTTAATGTGTAATGGACGTTTCAACTCTGTTGAGCAACCGGTAAATATTGAGGGAATGTATACTCTTTGGTTCTTTCGGTAAAGTCACGTAGGTAGAACAAATAAAAAACGTTTCGATTGCAACACGAGCAATCATCATCAGGTAGAAAGATACAGCCATAGAACTGCTGAACAAGAAAAGGCTGTTGCAACAAGAGGCTCCCCATTTAGCGCAGCTGCTGTGCGTGCTTGCGACGACGGTGCTTGTGTGCGACGCTGGGGCTCATTTCCCATTATAGTCGTTTGCATGAGCATGCCAATCCTCCTTTGGCGTATCTCTGACCCCGCCTACTCACCCTTGGGTGACATCCACCTCAAACCTATATACCTATATATAACCAAAGAGTATGGATTCCTGCAGTCACGAAAACTTCAAATCAAGATTGAGGGATTGTGTTTAAGCTCGCAGCGGCTTCAGTTGAATGGCTACAATAAAGATGTGTGCCCATCATCTTCTTGGTGCTTTCGGTGAAGTCACGTAGAATGAGAATAAAACAATAAAACTAAATAAAACAATACAATTCTCACGACGTTTCGGCCACAATGCAAGTAGCCTTCTTCAGGTGAAGGAATAGAACTGTCGGGACGACATCGCTTCATTGAAGCGCTGTCCTCCAGACAGTCTCGTCCCTTCACCTGATGAAGGCCGCTTGTGTTGTGGCCGAAACGTCGTGAGAATATTATTGTGTTATTTTATTTGATCAATTTATTATTTTATTCTCATTCTACGTGACTTTACCGAAAGAACCAAGAAGATGAATCCATGCAGTCACGAAATCTTTAAATAGAAAAAAGATGTGTGACCTTGAAAAATACAAAACTTTAATTTTGAGTGGCACCCTAATAAATATGTATACAGTAATGCTCTTTTAGCCTGTGGAAACTGTTGACATGAATGCTGTCAGCAGCAGTATGTGTTCAGGTTATTTGCGTACCCACGTGATCGCGTGCGATCAAAACGTTCGAAGTGGAACTGGGTGGTGACGTTGAGTGGCTTTAAAAAAAAATCATCGGGTGTGAATGTGGGTGCAGCAAGCCGGCCATTCTTCACGATTGTTCATCTACATTTTAAAGCAGAGGGTTTGACTTATTTGAAAAGCATTGTTTTGCCATCAATTGTCCTGAGCGTCCCATTCTGCCTTATAGCACTGGGTCAACGTTGGTTGACGTTGGCATGTTTACAGCTGAGAGCCCGTGTCCAAATCAAGGTTTCAGCCACCTGTAATTTAAACAAGGTTCTCAAGTTTAGTTAGTTGATGGTCTCAGTCCGGTGGCCAATGTTTACTCAATTACAAATTACTCGAATTGGATTACACACAGCAACATCGCCCTTTACTACAATCACTTGGCAGGATCCTTAAAAAATTGTATTGACACTCAATGAGGCTTTGGTGAACATGCATAATACTTCATAGCAGCCAAATAGTCTCACCACGTGACATTGATTCTAAATGTTGAGGGAATAACGGAGAACCGGGTAATAAATTCACACGACCACAGGGAGAGCATGCACACTCCAAATCTATAGCAGGCGTCAGGGTAGGGATAGAACCCATGACCTCCTGTATACCACGCAAGGTAGCCGCCCCTCACTTTCTGAAGGTCAGTGACTCAGTGCCCACGTGAGCACAAACACATCGACAAGGGAACTAAAAAAACACAATAACACAGAAGATGCTTCCTACATCTCACCCTCATGCTATGTATATATAAACAATAGTGTAATATGTACACGTTTTGGATTATCCGTGTTTTCTTTTATCCAGGCCATTACCCTTCCCGATTAACCCGGATATGAGGGTTAACCGTATATTTATTTTATTGACCCTTCCAGATAAATGTTACCGCAGCCACCACAATTCCAACGTTGACCAGACAGCCACCGGTGATCGGCTTTGAATTCACTGCGTCTCATCAGCAGGGTGTGGGCTATGACACTAATACTACTGTGATATTATGGACAAGAGCAATCTTTACAAAAATAATGGACATGGGGGAGCCCCTCATCCAAGGCTAGAAGAGGGCCTCCCCCATGCAGGGCAGGATTATTTGACCATACTGCACCACACTGGTTGGTGCGGTTTGTTCAAGGCAGAGAAAAGAGTACACGGTGCATTTGTGGTTTTTTTTTTACTGAGATAAGTAGCTTTTTAAAAAAATCTGTTGAGGGCCTGAGGTGTGACAATAGGACATGCTAGGTCGCGGTTGGTGCAGAGGAAGTTTCGCCTGACATTTGTAGATTTGTTCACGCACAAAACGACTGACTAAATTTAGCTGCTTTGAAAAAGTCACATTTGGGGCGCCATGGTGGTGACATGTTAACTACCTCGCCTGATATACAGAAGGTCGTGAATTCGATCCCGACCATAATGCCTGGAAATTTGAAGTTTGCATGTCCCTCTCCCCATGGTCGGGTGCATTTTTCTCCAGGTCATCAAAGTTTTCCCTCCACATTTAGAAAAATGTGTTTAGATTATTTGGCTGCTGTAAATTTCCACATGATAAGCTCCTTTATTGAGCTGTACATGTTGCTTATAGTCAGTGGTTGTACTTGAATACTTCACCAAGCTCCCAATAGCCTTGTCCCACCACCCCCCTCCACTTTTCCCACCTCCCCTCCAGCGCTCTAACTGCAGTTAAGTGACATCTTGTCAAATTCTCTCCTGCACATTTTTGTGCGAGCTGATGGGGACGTCTGCAGAATGTGGGTGATGGCTACGGTTCGTGAATTGCTTCAGCTTTGCCAGTTGGGGTGAACGTTGGCTGAATCGCATGTGTTCGAGATCTGTGCTCGCCGGTTATTCACAGGAAGTGTAGTCTCCAACTCTCATCCACTCTATCTCTCTGGCCTCTCTTTCACACTGATTACACACAAAGTGAACCATGATACATATTCTTGGTTCTTTCGGTAAAGTCAGGTAAATTTAAAATAAAATACATTTACAATAAAAGCAAAAAACCACGACGTTTGAATCGCAATGCAAGCGGTCTTCATCAGGCGGAGAGAAAAGAAGACCGCTTGTGTTGCGATCGACTTGACACCGTCGATAGCACCCGCTCCGTCGTCACCATGCTCTCTCCACTGCTAACTGCCTCGTCTCTGCTCTCCGCTATCACTGTGCTCTCTCCACTGCTAACTGCTTCGTTTCTGCTCTCCGCTCTCCGCTATCACCATGCTCTCTCCACTGCTAACTGCCTCGTCTCTGCTCTCCGCTATCACTGTTCTCTCTCCACTGCTAACTGCTTCGTGTCTGTTCTCCGCTCTCCACTATCACTGTGCTCTCTCCACTGCTAACTGCTTCGTCTCTGTCTTACGCTCTCCGCTATCACTATGCTCTCTCCACTGCTAACTGCTTCGTCTCTGTCTTCCGCTCTTCACTATTACTGTGCTCTCTCCACTGCTAACTGCTTCGTCTCTGTTCTCCGCTATCACTCTGCTCTCTCCACTGCGAACTGCTTCGTCTCTGCCTTCCGCTCTCTCCACTATCACTGTGCTCTCTCCACTGCTAACTGCTTCGTCTCTGTCTTCTGCTCTTCGCTATCACTATGCTCTCTCCACTGCTAGCTACTTCTCTCTTCAGCTGCTCCACGTCTTGCCTCATCCAGCCCCCGACTCCAACCCCCCGTTTCTCCTCACGTCCCCCAATTTATCCCCGCTATCATTACACCCCGAATAATTAACCCGCGTCCCAACGGCGCTCCGCGTGCCCGTGCGCCTGTGACCTCGCCAGACTTCAAGACGCCACCCCAGCCCTGACAACCACACCAGCCAATCACACCGCAGCCCTGACAATCATACCAGCCAATCACAGCCGTCCTTGGCTCCCCCAGCTTAATTGGCCCAATCGTTACCTCATCGTCCCAATATGACCCCCTACTGTCCTGCTCCCGCGCAAACTCACCAATTACCCTCATGCGCCTATTTATTCCACTACATCTGGATACTTTTTGATTATTGACGGGGTTCTTTCTCAATAGCTTCTCATAGTGTAACTATTCATATGCCAATTTAAGAACTGGTCGTCAGAAAACATTTGTTAAATTTAATTCTCATCAGGCTTCCATGGCGTGAAGTGCACTCTCCAACTCTTATCTACTCCACCTGCTATGAAGAAGGGCCCTTGGCCATAACATCGCCTATTATTATATCGTCTCCTTTTAAAACTATGGTGATATTGACCAATGTGTTGAGTTCTCTTCAAGGAGGGTGAGGTCCTCTTGGCTCCTTGGTTATTCGATCATGTTACCCATCATGAACTCTCCGTCCGTCACTGCTCTGCCGCTTCTCTTTCCTCCCGTGCTCTCCTTTCTTAGATCACAACCCCGTAGACGTGGGACCCTTTGCACCAATGTTGGGCCAACAGGTTCCAACCATGATGTCAACGTTGACCCAATATTGGCATGGTTACAGGGAACTAGGCTTTTATCATATACCGGGCATGGCAATGGTTTTTTTGTTTTGTTTTACGATTTTCTAGCTTTGTTGAACATATAAATGTAAATGTCCGCTTGTTGTCTTCCAGGTAAAGTGTTCATCACCTACTCACTGGATGCCGCGCCCCACGTTCTAAACCTCGCCAAGTTCCTCTGTGCCAATGGCTTCAACACCATGGTACGTGCATTTTAATAATAGACCACCGTACGCTTTTCCGGAGCAATACCAGTGAAACAAACCCACATGCGGGTACGTGGGTGATATTCAGTGTATAACGTGATTTGGCTTGGGTCCTGGAGCATGCACGCCTGTAATCCAGCGCTGTGGAGGTGAGGGTTTGTGGATCACACAGATGTTGTGAAACTGCCTTCCTTTGGGCGTTGAAGGCAGTACAGAAAATTGTGGACTCCATCTGTATGGGATGGCGTTGCCCCTCGCACGCGTGGGTTTTTTTCCAGGTGCTCTGGTTTCCTCCAAATTCTAAACACTCATTCATTTACCAGTAACACCTTCATATATAGAGGACCGCAGAGCTTAGGGAGTAATTTGGTGCCGGCTCACCGTCTGGCTGTTGCCTTCCCACTCATCTGTGGTTTCTCGTGCCTCTGAGTCATCCTCTCTTTTCGAAAGTGAGCGAATACTGTGTGGCGCGTTACAAGTTGCAATGACCATTATTAGTAAAATTAGGGGCCCCCGTGTCCAATTGCCCCTCTATTCGTATCCCGGTGCTTGGACTCCTCCGCCCAATGGTCCCGGCCTGTGTGATCAGTAGCCCGTCTAGATGCATATATCCAAGTAGGGCTTGCGCTAACGAGACGAAACGCGGTTCCATGCGTGTCTCATCACCATCGTGTGGCCTCCTAAACGAATGCCTCTGGGTAATTAGATATTATGGGCAAGAGCAGTGTAACTTAATTTTGCAGGACAAATGGCAGCCCCACGGTGACCTTTAGTGTGGTCCCTGACGTGCGACCCCTCACAATACACAAATCTGACAACACCCCATCGTACTGTCAAAACCCATTAGCGGCCCTCACACTGATGTCTTATTGGCAAAATAGTCCCCCCTCTGAAAATTAGGGAAGAACACTGGGCTAGAGCCATCTTTAAATATTATGAGACCAAATACATTCATTTAAATATTTTTCCACTACACAACCGATCTGCGCTGGGGCCATGCCGAGCCTGCCCGTTGCAACTCAGGAGGTGCCAGGTTTTTTTTTTCCACTGCAGACCCCAAGCCATGCCGCTGACATCGCACATAATGATGAGTCATTAATCCCGCCCCTCGGCCCTGCCTGGCTCGGAGCCAGATTCAGATGTCCTGTGATGTGGCACTGATGAAATTTTAGATTCAAATCTGTCTGATATCACTCTACTCCTGGATAAGTGCTAAGATGGGTGACCACCATACACATGGTTGTTCCGGGCTGTGGGCAGCAGAAGGAGACATCACTACGATACACTGCGCTGCTCCTGACATGGTTGTCTGTCTTGATCACCTGAAATTGTAGTTGTTGACCTGCATCTACATCACCCATACAAAAGAATAAGAACAAGAAGGTAGCAAAGGGCATGTGCAGAAAAATCCATTGCTGAAGTGTACTTCTGTGCTCTGACCTTCAATCCACATTGATCAATACAGTGAAGTATGGTCAAATAACCTCGATGACCCGCAGCGGGGAAAGCATTCATTCGATAGTGGAGTGACAAAAATGTTGAACACGTGCCTGGTTTGTTCCACCTGGTCTGCACGTGCTGATATGAGGGAATTTCCAGACGCCCACACACACACAGCTCTATCACATGGAGACATCACATACTGGAGGCAACTGAGCCTGACAACAACGAAGGTTGCTGAGAGAAAATCTAAAACAAAACGCTGCATGCACACAGAGAGAACAGCATATGCTAAATATTAAATTCGTCAAATCACACGCCTGGTCATGCGTTTCATTCACAGCTGGATGTTTTTGCCGACCAGCTGAGAGGCATTGACGTCATCAAGTTCATGGACACCTTCCTCTTGGACGTAAGTACCAGAGCAAAGGCAATGAAATGCACAAAATTATACTTATTACTGGGCTCGCATTTTTGCGAAACATCAGGCCCATTGACGCATGTTATCCCATTTTGAATGCCTTCAAAATAAGGTTGAAAACACAAGATCCAGGTCCGTTTCAACACATTACATAAAATCCGTGATCTGGTTCCGTCTGTAAAAGATGTGATTCCGGACATACAATATTTTGGTGTCTACAAACTAAGTTGCCTCTGTGGTAGTAGTTACATTGGAGAAACCAAACGCCATGTCTCGGACCGCATTCGTGAACACAAAGCAGACCTTAAACACGGTAGGACCAACACCTCGGCCGTGGCAGATCATTGTTCTAATTCAGTAGGCTCACATGCCATTGACTTTTCCAAGACAGAGGTTCTTTGTAAGCCATCTAGCTTCCATGAGAGATTCGTTCATGAGGCTATCCACATATACAAGCACAGAGACAATTTCAACCGAGAAGATGGATTCTATCTTAGCAATCATTGGAAGGATTTGATAAACCATTTCGGGTCTTAATTGATTGTTCACGCTTACGGTGGCTTTCAGACAGCATACATTATAAAAAATTTCGTCTCCCCCCTCCTCTTTTCAGAATATAGATGGACTAGTCCTAAATAAACTGCCAAATCGTTGCGCGTGGCGCTAACGTTTTTATAAATAAATAAAGGTGCCGTTTAAAAATAAATTTATGCAAACCAACACACCTGAAGATGACCGTTTGAGTTATGGTCGAAACGTCGTGAGAATTTTTTTTATTGTTTTATATATATTTTATTATTTTGTTGTTTCCCTTCAACGTGACTTTACCGAAAAAACTAAGAATATGAATAAGGTTGAAAGCCTTTATATATTTGGAACCGAGTCTATTGAAAACTGTCCAAATTGATCAAACGGTTTCCCAAACGTTTAAGACATAAACCATAACAAAAAGCACCGTTAGCAAATATTCATTTTGCCCTGACAGCTCGCCGTCGGCTTGTGTCCTGCTATTTGGCCATGGTGGCGAGATGTGACCTTCCTCGTGTGGCATGCACTAGGTCATAGATTTGATCCTGACCCTGACGGCTGTATATATGGAGTTTGCTTGTATTCCTCGTGGTCTCGCGGATTTTCCTCCGGGTCCTCTGTTTTTTCCCTACACATTTATTAACATGCTTTGAGAGTATTTGGCTGTTATAACATTTCCATGTAGTAAGCCACTTCCTTGAGCTATCATTTGTGGCCAGGTTGCTTCTGAAAAAGAGCTATATAGCTCAGTGGGCCTTACCTGGTAAAAGAAAAATAGTTTTAGTTTAGTTTGTACCTTCCTCAAATGCAAGTTGTGTTCTCCTTGTGTGCATACTTCGCCTCGGTCTCCGCAGAAGGACTACATGATCATCGTGGCCGTGAGTCCCGGCTACCGGAGGGACGTGGAGGGCTCATTGGGAAGTCTGGACACTAACGACCACAGCCTGCACACACGCTATATCTTCAGACAGGTGCGTGCCCGTTCACACACCTCCGATTAGCTAGGCTGGCTACGTATGCTGTAAGAATGGAGAGAGTACAAACTGTACTAATATAATCATTATTGTCATCATCGTGTAATCCACAGCTTCAGAACCAGTTCATTCAGCAGGGCTGCCTCAACTTTCGAGTCCTCCCAGTGCTCATGCCTCCAGCCTCCAGGGTTAGTGCTCTAGCCCAAAAGTGAACCTGCACACGCACACACGCACAACTGGTGAACAGGTGTGCTTTCATTGTATTTTTACGTGTTTGGCTTGCTTTGAAAGTGATGGCATGTATTACTTAACATTGATTTATATTCGTGCGGTATTTTTTATTTCTCACGTGATGACGTTGTTTTTTCCCCGTTTTCTATTTGCTTCTTTGCCGCACTTTATGTAACTTGTTTTACATTTTTCTGACCCGGGTCACTCTGAAAACGAGACTCACCCTGCTCTCTTGTGTCGTCACCTGTCTAATCAAATCATGCTTGCTTGACTTGACGCTCCGTGAAAAAGAGCTTCATAGCTCATTGGATTCCTTCAGGATAAATAAAGATTGTGATTCTGCGTTGCGGCGTGCAGGACGACGTGCCGTCGTGGCTGCAGAGCACGCTGTGCTTCCGCTGGCCGCGGGACTTGGAGGGCATCCTCCTGCGCCTCATGCGAGAGGAGAAGATCGTGCCGCCCCCCGTGGGAGAGCTTCCCACCATCACCATGGTTCCCGTGTGACGCCGAGACCCGCGACAGCTAAATATTTATCATCATCATTATCGCTCCATATAGATATCTACTGCACGTCCCGTGCAGTACATCTACGTATGTATGTATGTTGAACTTCTTTCGCACCGTACGTAGCCAACTGTGTTAATCAGAGGTGTGGGGGAAGGACAAAAAACTAAACACAAAAAGCAGTTCTAAAGAAGCGAGTTTTCAATCTAGGTGATTTAAAAGTGCATAGCTCCAGTAACTTCCTAATATCGGAAGGAAGAGTTCCAGACGGCCACAGAAGCGCATCTAAAAACGCGCAATGCAGTGACCGTCTTTGTTCCATGGCATAATCAAAAGCCGCTGCTGGGAGAATGACCAGGGTTTGCGCGATGGTTTATGGCCCTTGAGCTAAGGAGGACCCCCGGTGGGAGCTGTCACTGTGCGGCGTAAGGTGAACGCAACACCGACTTGCAGGTGGGCAATAGTCTGTCCAGAGAGTGTGATGTTGTGTGCTGAGGTGATTCTCAATTCAGAAAGTAATTAATCAACTCTGGAAAATTCGAACCATGAAGCCAGCACATGCACCTTTGATTAACACGGTTAGCTATGTATAGTGCAAAAGAAGTTCAACATGCATACATAAATGTGAACAACTCTTTTTCAACGTGACGGGATCTTTAACGTCCACAGTGAAGCACACAGCAAGTAGTATTTATGGATGATACACCCTCAGTATTGACCAGGGCGCCCACTGGGCTGCCACAAGTGGCAAATATGCTTCCACTGGGCCATGTCACCATCTCCCCATAGGATAAAATGACCAGCTACCTCCACCTTGCTGCTTCCATTCTCTTGTTCACGACTCCCCTCTTCCCCTGGTGTGTGATGTCTCCAAGCCTCGAAGACATTGTTGCATCAATCGATATCATAATTATCAGCTCATGCGTAGGTGCTAGGTGGACTGTTACATCACAGGATTGTGAGAGGTGGCCGGCAGTTTGGGGAGGACTTTATCCAGCAGTGGAATGAAAATGGCTGGTGATAATCATGTAAGCCATTTGACAATCCACTGCTGGATGAAGATGTTAACTACCTCGCTAGGTATACAGGAGGTCGTGGGTTCGATCCTGACCCTGACACTTGTATATTTGCAGTTTGTATGCTCTTCTCGTGGTCACGTGGATTTTTCTCCCTCCAGGCCCTCCGGTTTTTCCATTCACATTTATAAACATGCGTTTAAATTTTCACATGATAATAAGCCACTTCGTTGACCATTTTTTTTTTTGCCAGGTCACTTCTGAAAAAGAGCTGTAAAGCTCAGTGGGCAATCTAATCTAGATTTGAAGTTTTTGTGCCTGAAGGGATTCATACTCTTTGGTTCTTTCGGTAAAGTCATGTCGGTATAAAATAAAATAAATTAAATCCCGACGTTTCGATTGCAACACAGGCAATCATCAGGTGGGAAAACCACAGCAAGAAAATGGGCCTTACCTGGTAAAATAAAAATAAATGTATAGAATGCCTCCCCAGAAATTGTTTGAATGGCCACACATAAAAGGCACAATTTCCACAAAGGATCATGGTGTTGCAAAGCCAAGTATGTATGGTTTGAATAATAGGCCTTGGAATATGAAATAGCTATTATTATTTAGCACCATTAATAAATTTTATCCATCACCATGATGACCAGGTCACTAATGCAAATCGGTATTACCCTGGTTTGTCATTCTCACCTGGTTAAACAATCAATTCGAATATTGTGTTTTATATGGATTAAACACGACACAGCTATTTACTGGTTTCATCCTGGAGCATAACAGTACTGTAATTAGGTTCAGAATGCCAATATTATTTGTGAAACTTGTGCCTTTTGTGTGTGGTTAGAGGGACTTCTTTTCACTCTAACTACCTCCAAGAATCACACTTGTCATTATTTCGCAATATTATAAGTTATACTGTCATAGCAATGACTCACATGCATGTGAAGAATCGATGGTGCTTTCAGTATGCCATTTTAAATCCCATAATCGATCTAATATTTTCGAGAGTAAGAGTTTGGAGCCAGATTATTGTGGGGAAATGTACTGCCTAAACAATATGCTTGCATTGTTGTTTAATCTGACGCGAGTGAGTTTGACGCGAGTGAGTTTAACGTGAATCTGCAGCTTTGCTCTTCATAATGCATTTGTGAGCCAAGTTCTGGTGCAGATGTACATACGTGTCGGCTTTTTTCTGTCGACATCATTGTTTATGTTGCGTCTCATTTTAACATGTGGTGCGTTTCTGCACTTGCTAGTAACTTAAAGCTACAACATTTCAGGAAGTTTCAGCTGGGACACACATTGAGGGGCTTCCTCATGCTCTCTGAAGTTGGTGCTGCTGACTGCTCGTAGACCTATCTACTCGTCTGCCAATCCCACACACAAGTCGGGTAAAAGTGATTTCCTGCGCAGATGAGCAATGAGGTGGTGCTTACACCTGTTTACTGTCCAAAACCAGTGGTGGAAATTCCGCATTACTATTGTGGGGATGAGCCTATCCATAGGACAACCGCTGTTGATTTTCCCACAAAGTCGTACGTATTTTATCGACCCCAAGAACGATGATGGGCTGAGTCGACTTGCAAAACAGGATTTGAACCCGCAACTTTATGATTGCGAACCACTCACTGTACCCATGAGTCAAGTGTGATGGCAGGACATGTTTTATCAGGACAACATCCTGATTCTCTCAAAAGCTTCAGGACATAGGGACATGCTTTCTTCAGATAGGACTGTTCTGGCCAAATCAGGACGTTCGGTACAGCTTGTATATATGTATAACTTCTTTCGCACCGTACGTAGCCAACCATGCTCATCGGAGGTGCAGGAGAAGGACAACAAACTAAACACAAAAAGCAGTTCGAAAAAAATTGTTTTCAATCTTATATTTAAAAGTGCAAACTTGTTCATCACTCGTGACTCATATGTTCACAGTACGTAAAGTACTTAATATTGAATGTTATTTGTTTTTGTGTCTATATGTTCAGCCATAGCAGGGCTTGTATGAAGATGGTTATTTTTTTGAGGTGTGTTGTCAATATAGTATTTCGTAAGTTGTAATTTGCAACCCTTTATTGAATTAAAGTTCAAACAATAAATCATGTACATATACATTGTATTCACATTTTTTTTGCATTTATGACGTTTCCAATTGTGCTATCGGCGTCGTGTCCTTATCGATTCATTTACAGCCCATTGTCAATCCACTGATGAAGGCCTCCCCATGCGTGTCAGTCATAGTGTTTTTTTTTAATCATACTTCGTCACGCTGGTCAGTGCGGATTGGTAAAGGTAGGAGCGGCAGGACCTGTCTATGACCGATCCCTGAGACCTCAAAAGCTAAGCAGGGGTGAGCCTAGATTAGGAAAGTGCTTGGAGGGGTGACACTTGCACAACAGATATTGTAGGCTTCGGGAGATCCGTAACGCAGTGCAGAAAAGTCCATCTCCGACCTCTGATTAGCACGGTTAGCGATGTACGGTGCGAAATAATTTCAACATTCCCACTGAGAAGGCGCTGTTCCGTACTTCTCTGCTTCAAGCATTCACCAATCCGCACTGACTACTGGTGAATTAAGTGGTCCGTGTGAACTGGTAAAGTATGGATTTTGATTTAAAGCTTTCGTGACTGCAGGGATTCATATTCTTGGTTCTTTCGGCAAAGTCACGTAGAAGGGAAACAATAAAATAATAAAAATATAAATCAATACAATTATCACGACGTTCTGACTGCAACACAGGCAATCATCATCAGGTGTGGAAATCACAGCAAGAAAATTTTGAAAAAAATTAGAATTTATTTCTTGCTGTGGTTTTCACGCCTGATGATGATTGCTTGTGTTGCAGTCGAAACGTCGTGATAATTTAATTTTTTATATTTTCATTATTTTATTGTTTCCCTTCTACGTGACTTTACCGAAAGAACCAAGAATATGGTTTAAAGCTTTCGTGACTGCAGGTATTCATCTTCTTGGTTCTTTCGGTAAAGTCACGTAGAATGGAAACATAGTAATACAAATAAAACAATAAAATTCTCACGACGTTTCGGCCACAACACAAGTAGCCTTCTTCAGGCGAAGGAACAGAACTGTCGGGACGAGAGCGCTTCAATTAACACTGCTAAGATTCGCAGCGTATTTTAAGCTAGGTGAGAGAAGTGAAGCGCCTTGACAAAGGAGTTTACATGTCAAACAGGAGAATTTAGCATTGAAATAGCTGAGGGACTAGTTTATGACTGGTCACATAAATAGCTGCAACTACCCAACTATCATACAGTAAACAGATGTGACTAATTACATCAGTATAAGTGAAGTGTATACCCAGTTGCTTTGTCTTAATAGCTCAGCTTATTGAAGAATATATTGAGTACATTTATTATATTGATGTAATTTATACTTAGTTTTGTTTCATATCGGTTTACTGTATGGTAGTTGGGTAGTTGCAGCCCTTTAGCGTCCATATACTAAATACCTCTGTTGATATGTAAACTTTGACTTTAACATAGCTATTTCTGTGACCAGTCACAAGCTAATCCCTCAGCTATTTCAATGCTAAATTCTCCTGTTTGATATGTAAACTCCTTTGTCAAGGTGCCTCACTTCTCTCACCCAGCTTAAAAGACGCTACGAATCTTAGCAGCGTTCATTGAAGCGCTGTTGTCCCGACAGTTCTGTTCCTTCACCTGAAGAAGGCTACTTGTGTTGTGGCCGAAACGTCGTGAGAATTTTATTTTATTATGTTTAATTTTTATTACTTTGTTTCGATTCTACGTGACTTTACCGAAAGAACCAAGAAGATGAAACAAGAATATGGTAAAGTATGTCTTCTTTGGTTCTTTCGGTAAAGTCACGTAGAATGAGAATAAAATAATAAATTGATAAAATAAAATAACACAATAATATTCTCACGACGTTTCGGCCACAACACAAGCGGCCTTCATCAGGTGAAGGGACGAGACTGTCTGGTAGGACAGCGCTGGAGTGAAAGAGCCACGTTCAGATCACGACCTTTAAGCTGTGTGAGAGGAAACAAAGCGCCTTGACAAAGGAATTAGCATATAATTTAGCATTGAAATGGCTGAGTGATTAGCTTGTGACTGGTCACAGAAATAGCTATGTTAAAAGTTAAAGCATACACATCCGCAGAGGCACCCCTTGACAAAGGAATTAGCA